ATGATATGGTTGAGTTGATGATACGTATTGTAATGTAACAATTTTAATGGATAATGCAGAGTATTTCTTAAGTAGACAATAATATAATGTCCAAAACATATAATTCATTGGACAAACGCATACATTTTTCACTCATTAAATTGAGGCCTAAACGGTATCAAAAATGATATCCCCATCTATTCAACTCTGATAATACAAAAAATTAATTAAATTACTGACTTGCCCAATGGCTTAATAATACAACTTTTGATAAATATTTTAAATTACACATACATTTTAGATGCTGTTTGATGAACCCTAATCATTTAAAAGTGTATCTTGAACATATTTTTAGTTTAAAAGTGATTAATCAATTGATTAAGGGATTACTTATATGTTGGAAAACTCGTGAATACACGATGGTGTCACTGAATCAACCTAAGCAAAATAAGTATCAAATTGTGCTCTGCGTAAAGAGTGCAGAAATAGCGGTAGGTATAAGCCTTATTAGTGGGGCGCCCTACTAAAAATCAAATGCGCATATGCAAATGTCAATAAGACGGCGGCACTATTAGTGGAATAGCTGCAATGTGTGTTCCATATCTCTCTAATGTTGGTTTCGTTATTTTAATATGATTCGAAGATGGTTGTGCAACAAATTATCGTGTTGTATTTCATTTTATTGCTGATATATCATGGTCAACATGGATTTGAAAAGTTAAGAAACTATATAATACAGTAGTGAAGAGATTCAGATTAATCTTTTCAATAATAACATGCAATAAACTTCTTTGTCGTGAAAATGCTATCTATTATAACCCGCGTATGAAGCAAAGATCACAACATTAAGATATTCCGAAGTGATAAATTGAGATCATGTACACAGATGAGTTTTACGTCATTCTGTAATTACAATTTCTTAGCTGAAAACCAAGTCTTTTAGTGTCGGCCAATCAGAGGAGTTTGCTTTTAAAATAGAATTATTAAAATCGTAATAAATATTAGCGTTTGATATCTGCTGATAACCATTGCATTTTAGTATCCAATAAACTACATTGTTTTGAGCCAATGCCTGTGATCAAAGACTGAAAAAAATTTGCAATTGGGGACGAATAGCGTCGATTTATTGTCTACTTTAGAAATAATTGGCATCAAAATCGCTTACAAATCTAAGTGCAAACAATTGTCTTTGCAAATCATCCAAATGGAATATTATAAATTTCTCACATGTTTAGATATACGTATGCATTGGTATACTTATATTGCTACGCTTTAAGCATAGAATGACAAAATTAAAAATTATACAACCCAATAAATATTAATGAAAGTAAAGCTAACTATGTCAATCTGAAGTCGTTGAAATTATTTGCATTGAAATCACGTATTTTAACATCTAAAAAGTATCTTACCGTATGCTGGCAAACATCATTCGATTCCCGAACAGACCAAGTAATTGAATTTTTTTTTCAACTACAGCTGTGCACTACGATACACTGAATTTTACAAATCTTTTTCTCTTGGTGTGTCTAGTCATGTTAAATTGAATAGTAAATCCGTTAATGGTTTTGCTGTTAATATAAAATGCTGCATGAAGCTTACCCCATCTAAGTCCATTTTCTTCTCCCAAGTCTTAAAACTTGATGATAAGTTGGTATTTTATGAAAAGTGTAATTTCATTTTCTGGAGAAACTATGGGCGTTATTTTCTTGTTAGAAACAGTCAATCAAAGTTGCCTCTAGTTCGTTGCTTTGAAAAAAGTGTGGAATAAGGAAGTTTTCAATTAACAAATTTGTAAGTAAATAAAAAAATTATTAAAGTATCTGAAACAAATTATAGGCGAAGTGGAACAATCCGAAAATTAATCTCTCGGATTCTCGGACTACACATGGTTCTGTGTATATGTATGGTCTAACTTAAATTTGAGCCTTAAACTCGATAAATTCAGTATTGTTTTAGAGCCGAAATTGCTTATGAGTGCTAATGAAGTAATAACAGAAACCCGCATATTCCATTTGCTTGATTCCTACTATAGTATAATATACAGGGTGCGTTTTTTTAAAGTGTTACAAGGCTATATCTTGTATCAGGTAAATTATAATAAATAAAGACATTTAAATGTAAATATATATACCAACTTTTTAAGACACATTATTATTGACCCAAAACATGAATGTGTGGTTTCAGCAAGATCGGGCTCCACCCAATTATGCAGTGGAGGCCCGTAGTCATTTAGGTGAAATATTTCCCAGCATATGGATTGGTCGCGGTGGTCCCGTCAACTGGCCAGCGCGATCTCCAGATCTGCCGCCACTTGCTTCTTTTTTGTGGGGTTTTATAAAAGATTTATAAAGAAGTTTTATAAAAGAAGTTTTATAGAAGATGAAAAGTGATGGCCACTGCACCCATCACCTCAGATGAGCTGAGCCTGCCTGCTTGTTAGTGAGACCTGAAATGTTGTTAGCGCGAGTGCAAAAGTCTTTAAAAAAACGAGTCTAAAGTAGAGTCTAAAGTCTAGAGTAAATTTGGCTCTCGGGGGAGGGCGCTTGAGTAGAATAATAAGACATTTGTTATTATATGTCCCCCTTCCAATTTCTTTCTTTCCCAAAACGTTATAAATATATTTAAAACCGTTTCTGAGATATAGCCTTTTAACACTTAACAAAACTCACCCTGTCTAGCAATTTTAGTACAATGAAATTGGCGTGCAATTGACCATAGGGGACATGAAAATGATGCTACTTTTAGTTATTGTTACCATATTGTTATCCACATAAGCGTCGTTACATTTCTTAAACTATCCAAAACCTATTTTAAATACCTAGAATCTTCAACAGCAAATCGTAACATCGCAAAGCTTCAAACAATACAGATTTTTGGGTAAATAACTTATGTTTTAACATGAATCTCGTAAAAACTCTTCATTATACCCATCATACTCACTTTTTCATCCTTTGTTGTCGGTGCAGGTTCTGGCGATTTTGCTTGATTGTTCTTTTCCTCTGCTTTCTTTTCCTTGAGGGTTTTTAAGAGTTTCCATTTACTTCCAGGGGTGTCTTTATTACACTCTTTTGGGGCCTCCTCCTTACTTGGAGTTGCAGATGCAACCTGAATTTCCGGAATGGTTTGCTCTGCAGGCATATCCGTAGATGATTTGCGGTGGTGCGTAGCCACTTCTCTGTTTACTCGATCCAGTTGCTCCTCGTTTGATAAGTGACACCGGGCAAATTCGTCATTGATTCTCATCTCTAATTCATCATATTCGTCTGTACTATGGTGCGGACTGTCCGGGCCTGATGTAGCGCCAGACGATCGGTCGTCTTCCTCTTTGCACGGTTCTTCCAAATAATTGAATCCTTTAGTTTCTTCCGGAGGAGCTTTTTCGGTTTCTTGTATTCCTTCTTCTTGCCTTTCTCTCTCCAGGGACTCGTGATGATAGACTTTAATTTTTTCGAACAAAGCTGCGGCTTCGTCTAAATGAAATGATCCGCGTTTCTCTTCTCGCCGCTTAGCGGAATTAACTGTTAACAAGTTGTTTTCTTTTTCGTCTAAAACGCCTTCGACAACTTTCGCTCTCATTCTAAGTTCGCGAAGCACAAACGACATTTTCTCTTTCACCTCCTCTTCAGGCTCGTAAGTTTCCTCGTCCGCCTCTGGAAGTTCCTGTAGGGTTGCACCCATGTCATGCTCTAAGTCCTTTTGCCGTTCCATTTCTTCCAGCTTTCGCAATTCATAGCAGTACCATTCATCTTCACTATCAATACTGTCTTCGGTACTTTGTCGTCGCGATGAAACACGAGAAGTACTTCTCCAAGAGTGAGTACTACGACTGTCTTCATCATCCGCCCGATGGCTCGGAATTTCCAAGCTTTGCTGGTGCCGGGGGAAATAGCGGCTGGCATTTGTCCGAAAAATTGGGCTTTCGTCAATTGCCTGAGATTCCTCACATCTGTTATTTTCTATGCTACTGTTGCTTTCAATCGGTTTCTGCTCTGCTATTTTCAGATGCGCATTATTTGGTGTTTCTCTGCAGTCTTCTTCCTTGAAACTATCTTCATTTACTTCTTCGATTTTAATTGCAGATTCGCTGGTTTCAAATCCTTGGTCGTCAGAGAACGAGTTTGAATGTTTTTGCCTGTATTTTCCCAATGCTCTAGAGACGGCAAATTCCATTGAAGTTCCCATTCCTCCCCCACCTACTACAACTACCATTTTGTTGTCGAGGATGACTGTTTCGTCGCTTTTATCAGAAGATCCGCTACTTTTCTTGGCTTCTCCAATGGTAGGAAATATGCTGCTTGATCCACTACCTGTGCTTTTACACGAATAGTCTTCTTCATATCGGCTCACTTCGCTACTCGCTTCAACAATTTGGTCCTTCGGCGAAACCTTGATTGCTTCAAATCCTGGCTGTAAAGCAGTTTGATGGGATTCTTCGTCAGACTTGCTACTTTTTCTGCTCTTCGGTTTTGGACTGATCTTGGGAAATAGCTCGTTTTCAAATATGTTCTCTGATATGCTCGTACTGTCTTCGCTACGGTCATCTTCGGAAATAACCGAACTAGTCCTGTTCAGATACCATTCATTGTCTGATTGCTCTGGATCGGACAGGGATTGGTGCGATCCATGCGCTTTTCGCTTTGCCTTTTGTAGTATTCCCGAAACTGTAGAGACAATTGCGTTTCTTTTCTTTTTGCGAGTTACATTTGTTTTACTTGCTGTGCTTCTGCTTTTTTCCACATCTTCTTTCTTGATACCCCCCGGTAACGAGTAAGATCTGTGACGTTTAGTCAGATGTAAATCTGGAAGCCAGTTGCTGACTGAATTCATCGCTGATTTAAGAGTGCTACCGCGCTTTAATTTTTTCTTCTCATCCCGAGATGATGATGATACGTTGCTATTGATAGTAATGTACTCGCCTGATTGGGTTATAATCACCTCAATACCTCCATCAAAATATGCATTGTTTCTTGGCGCTTGCTGGTGAACCACATACTCAGGTACATTTCGGTGTCTCAGATCAAGCTCCATCCTGGAAACGTCTTGATTTTGCTGTTGCAAATTTCGCTGATGTTGCTCAATTTGCAGCTGATTCTCGTAGATCGGCTGCTTTTGGGAATCTTGATATTGCCTCCTCTCCATGTACGGTGAGTATCCAGTTTCAGATGTTTCAGCGGATTTAATAGAACTGGATGTACTTGCATTATCGTGGTACTGAACCTCATGTCCAGAACTCAACCAAGCATTTGGATCATTATAATTCGCTGCAGGTAAATTATTTCTTGCCGACTCGTAGCGAGTGGAAGTGGGGTAGTAGCTTAAGGCATCAGTAATATTTCCAGTTGGAAACATGGTTCTGTACATGGCGGTTTTGTAACCTTCATGATTTGCCAGACCGTCTGGAGGTTTATTCGTTGAGTATGACCTAGTTAAAGACCTGCGTCGACGACCAGTGTCTGATTCTTCTGTAGGAACTGACGTTAAAGAATTGTAATAATTCGACTGCTGACTACTGACAAATTCGTTGTTCTCATAGGGTTCCACCAAGTCTGGATAATGGATGGTTTGATTAATATAATCTGCACTGTTGCTGGTATAAACTGTGGTATATGAATCCTTATTGTTGCTTCCTGCCACAGAGTAAATAGCTGCAGGTTGATTATTCTGATATAGACATGGTGATACTGAGCTTTGATCAGTACCGTCTGCTATTTTGTTCCTATTTGGACTAACGTTAATATCAGAGGCTGGTGCAGGAGCAGGCACAAATGTTCCATATCCTTCCAACTGAATATTGCTGGGCGATTTTACGTTGGTGAATGCTGACAAACGATGCCCCCCCGGCAAAAATTCGTTCGTTGCAAAGTGACTAGCATCTGAAACTTTTGAATCGACGGATGATTCTGCATACCCTGCAGTTTTTCCTGGGGATCCACCTGGGCTTACTGCTCCTATCTTCTGATTCAATGCCAAATAATTATATGGCTTGCAGCTGCCGTTCTTTGGAGAACCAGGAGACTTTTCCAAGCTTGACCATCCAGACATTGAGGAGAGGCCCGAATCACTTTTCGCTGCTACTATGTTGGACGAATGCGATTTACTTCGTTTGGGAGATGTTTTTGGGGACCTGGCGGTGTGGTGCTTAGGAATCAGATGATCTTGATTTTTAATTGACGAGGATTGGCTGGAATCGTTTGCTCCGAGGAAGACAGTGCCAGGCATTGAGTTTATCAAAAAACCGTCCATTGGGGCAGGTGGAGGAGGGCTGGGAGATTGACGCACAGGCTTTTCGGGATCAAGGTACCCATCTTTCCTTGTTCTTATACTACATATTGATAACGTAGGAGATGGGGGTTTATCGGAAATCATTTGAAACATACTTGGAGTGGAACAGGAATTCGATTCGTACGAAGCTTGCATTAAATTCGACAAATCTAGGTCACTACAATAAAACGGGTTTTTTGAGTTTCGCATCGCGGCTGCAGCTGCAGCTTCAGCACACTCGACGTGCTGCACTGCTGCACTATACGCCAGTCGTCCATCGACAGTGGAAAATGGTTCACTACAAGCCGTTTCCACTTGGCGACGTCTGGGAGACGTCGGGGTTCTCATTCCACTTGCCAGAGTATCAGCAACTTCCTTGTCCGAGTCCGTGACACTCAACCTCGAATTCGGACGTGTCGCGTAAGACGTATTGGGCACGACATTAGAAAGTTCAGTTTTTGCCAACAGCATCAGTTCATTTTGATCCCGCACATCACCCGAAAATGTCCAATTTTCCTCTTCCTGCTGTGTCCGATTTTCAGCTTCTTCACTTACACCGGCAACAGATATTGGCGACTCCAAAAGTTTCCGTTGCAGCTGCTTAATATTTGCGCTATCTTGCTGAAGCTTGCTGCTCAAGCGATCCAATTCGTTGAGTTTCTCCATCGCCATGTGGTCAATGGATTCAATTATAGTTAACTCCTCGAGGTCCTGTTCGCTAACACATGAACTGTTGCCCCGATAGTCTTTGTAGTCTAGTGCACTGTATATTTCCTCCTCTTCAGCGGGCGTTATTTTCTTATCCAGCTCGTCCTGTTCCTCTCTCTCCTCCCAGATCATATCCAGCTGACTGGATTGGACCACAGGATCGGTGCTCGACACCAACTCCTCCTCGTAAGCCTGGTTGAGGCTTCGATAAAATGCCTCATCAGGAATATTAAATTCTTCCATTTCCTGGATCTGTGGATCGTTTGATCGAATGACGTCTAAACCTTCCTCCAGTCCATCTTCAACTGTTCCATTTCCCAAAATTTCTCGGATTACTTCCAATTCACCTAAAAGTAAGTCAAGTATGAATTCTTATTGAATATAAAATGTATGCGAAGTACAGAATAATTCTCTGGGCAGGGATTTTTGATTTAGTTATTCGCACTATTTATCTTTGTCATTTATAGTATTAATATATGATAAGAGTGTGAAACATGAAAATTTACACTGGTTTTAAAAAGCCGGAAATTGAAGAAAAATTAACAAACAATAGGAAATAATACTATTTTAGAATATTTTTTTTTGAATGGAGGGTATTAATATAGTTCCTCAACTTTAGGAGTTTAGGAGGCTACGGCTTTATATGCACCGTATTTCATGTTAGGTAGCTTTATGAAAGTAGGTTTCCAGCCATCTTCCAAATAAAAAAACTGAAAAAAGGTAATATAAGTATTGAAAGCACCGAAGCTAAAATAAAAAATTCTCTCTCAGAATGGATAAGAAACTTCGATAATCAAACAGAAATATGTACTAAAACATGAAATTAAAGAAGTATCCAGGACCAACTACTAAAATTGCTAGGTTGGTTTGTAGCGACTTTTGAATTGTAATCTTAAAGTAATTAAATAAAATCTGCCTAATGCAAATGGCAAACTGATTTGAACTTTTTGATTGATTTGATTTGAAGAACTAGAAGTTAACGAAAAAATGATGTTAACATAAATAAAACTGCTGTGAATTGACAAAATCAATCGTATTGTCTACAAGTGCGAATAACGTTCTCAAAATTTGAATCAAAAGCGCAATGTAATCTAGAGTAACAAAAGTATGGAACATTCACAATTTTATTTCTGATTCTCATGTATAAATTGAGATTTTCTTCATAATTTTTTTTATTTCAGTTAATTGCTCCCATGGATAATGTGGTAAAAATAGTTTCAATAAGACTTTTTGAGTCAATTAATATTTCATTGTCTTTAGATAATGCACTGCGCTCGTGAGGCCCATAGTGCCCCTGCTGAGGCCAATTACAAGTTAAATTTTATTATTTTCTGCTGCAATTTGTTGTAAACTAAATGAAATCGTAATTAATTTTGTTCATTGAAAATTTTGTTAGTTAAAGTTAAGGGATTTGTTATTAATTTTGCACATTTTTCTTTAATAGATTTTGCAGCACGCTTGCCATAACTAGCCGATGCGAGGCGTTTATATAGGACTGTAGAAATTGTTCGTAATTAATTTGTAACATTTCAAGCTAATTGTACTGATAACTATTTACAATTTAATTTACCCGTTTTGTTAATTGAACACAATTGTAGAAATGTACACTACTGAATAATAGAGCATATTTGCTCAAATGATTTGACGAAATCGGTTCTGCTGCATTATAACTGATCGTTTCTGGTAAATTGAAGCCTATATTTTGTTCATGTAGATATAGGACTTACGTGCTTTAGTCCGGTTTTGCTACCTTTTGATTTGAGATTGTCGTGTACTTTTTGACCTAACTTGACCGAAATGTATTAGTTATTAGAAGCATTTTTTTATCAACGTAACAAAGTTTCTGTAGGTCGCGTGCTAAGCACATGCAGTAATCGCGTGAACACTGCGGGGTTCAAACGAAATGTCAATTTATATACGAAAAAATATTTAAAATTATTTACAATTCGGAACCACCAATTAGAGAATGTCACCGTTTTGATGATAGTTTTTAATAAGAACCTATATTAGTAAGTTCTTGCTTTATAAACCAAAAAATTTCGTTTTACACAAAGAAAATAAATTTTCTTGTAAAAGTCTTCAAGCAATGGGATTGCCGATGCAAAAAGCATTATTTGAGCAAAAAGGCAAGATCACGGACTTTTATTGTCTCTAACTCCAGTTCTAGTGGCCATTAAATATGATATATGTATCTAATATATGTGTGCCACAACAAACAACGTAAATATGAAATATGTGCTTTACGGAACTTTAACGAGTCATCTGATGTTACTGTTAAGTTTAAACAATAAACCGAGTTATACCTTCTGGCCAAATTTCACTTTATATTTTCTAAGAGACGTAGAGTTGCCAGAGCTTAAACACCAATTTTATCTTAAAAAAAATGTAGTTCAAACTATAACTTGGAAAATACATATGCAGCTTTATTAGCATTGATAAAAATAAATCAGTTTTGCTTCACATTTCCTAATGACCGTTTCGTTTTGTATACGTAGTTCCAAACTTTTGTTATCTGTGCTATCTGTACTTGTACTGTTATAGGGGCAACAAAAAAAAATACTCAAAAAAATATTATTATGTGGAAGGTCTCGTACCTAATCGGCCTTCCAGCATGGATACAGTGGGGCCCACTCTTTGGCTGTTACCCGAAGTAGTATAGAAATCCATCAGTTGACTAATAACACTCTGCTGTTCGAAAAGCAGGCCCTCCAACTTCTCCAGTCTCTCCCACATTTTAATGTATTCTTGGCTCAACAGATCCAGAGCTCGCCAAGCATATTTCAGTTCGGTTTCCAGGATATTAAGGCGCGTTCCCAGACGTTCCATGTATTCATTGATCACATGGTCAACATTGGAGTCTTGATAAACCGAATGAGCTATTGCTGGAGTCATATTGTCCGAATTATTTGTCAGATGTCTATCACTCATTTTTCTGAAGAACGGCTGGTAAGGCGGCACTACATAGTTAACGGGGTATGGAGTTTGTCATGATATGTTGTAATCAGGCACGTACGCTATAATGAAACTGAGCGTATATCAAGCGTAGGTTGAAAAGCTTTATTCATTTTCAAAAATAATTTCAGATAGCGCCATTAAGCAGGTGTTTTCAATACTGGTAATTGAAAACACTGATCCTAACTTTGAAATGTTAACGCCAATCTGATACCTGATTAGCCAGAAGAAGGAAGCAGATCAATGAGTTTCAACCGAATTCTTTCCACCAATATCAGCAGTACCCATTTAGAAGCTGGTAAAATCCAGGCATTTTTAAAACGTTTTTAAAATGTTAGTATTTTTTTTGTTTAATGGAGTTTTGTACATTGTCTTTGAAACTCTTTTGCATATATTTGTAAAGCATAATGAACACTTACAACTGCCTTTTTTAATTAACTAGCTCATTTCCAAGCCGTCTGGCATGCACCTAGTTTCGGACAAAGAAAAACAACATTTCAAGTGGCATAATTCAAATTTCTTGCTTCCACCTTTACGTGCATGAAGTGCTGCAAACGGTTGAAATTGCTCGATAAAAGAACTGAATTTCTGCGTTAGTTTCTGTTTTCAGTTCATCTAAGCATGGTAAAATCGACTTATTTAGGTTTCGAGCCACGTTACTTAAGGAACAGCAAGGAGATGAATTAGTAATTTAGTTCGTTTAGATTCTGGGTGAATGTTAACTCATTGTTCTTCTTAACCCTCACTGGCACTCACTACGATATGTACGGACGTAAAAATTCGTTGCTGTTGAACATAACTGTGGAGTGAGAATGGCACTTTTATGTGGCATCTCGGCCTCCAGTGGCTGACGAAGTAGGGAAAATACATCGCTCCCGTCCGTCTCCAGCGATAATCAACTTGGTTCGCATTTTTTTCTTAAAATTGGAGCGATCGAGCTAAATGCTCCAAAATTCGTGACATTCCGCGAATTTTCATTAGATTTTATAAAATCCCGAGGGCGAATTCATGTTCTCCGAACTTGCTAAAACCCGGATCCGACTGAAATCACTTATTACACAACTTTTGCACACTGATTAAATTCGACGGCAAATTGGAGCAGCTTCATTTGAAACATAGTCTGAAACAGAAAATATACATGGTTAGTGACTTCCAACAGAGGAAACATTTATTCTGGCAACAACTTCTTCAAATTTATATTAGCATTTGAACTTTTCAAGCAATGGAGAGCAAGTTTGGAACAGTTTTGTTACTTTCCTAGTTTGATGGTTATCAATCAGCTCTTCATGGAAATCTTGGTAAACTTCGTATCAATAATCTTAATGATTTGCAAAGTAGATATTTTGATCTTAGGTCTCATTTATAATTAAATGCTTCATTTACATTTATTTCTTAATTTGCCTACTATTTACTTATTTAATGTTGATCGATCATCCGAGTTTGGATTAATGGATCTTTTCAAAGCGTATAAATTTAGCTTTTATAACTTTTAGTTTGCAACTTTTACTCATTTAATAGGTACCAGATCTGATTTAGACCCTGGAATAAATTAAATCAGTACGTTTGCCCCGAATTTTACTAAATCGATAATAAAGAAGACTGGAACATATCGACCATCCGGGTTAAAAAACTGCATCCATATTTATTAGTCATACATTCATATGAAAAGCTTCATGTCTCGAACACAGCCGTTTAAATAAAATTCTAAATAATTTTTGATCGTTGCGTAATTCCATTTGGCAAACAATCATCTATTTTTGTCACTAATATTATGTATTAGAGTTTGGTATTTTTCTTTCGCAATATTTGATTCAATGTGCAAAACCATACTGTTGATTAGGCTCAATAAAATTAGCCCTTAATATCGTTCGTACTACATTTCATCTATTGTTAATTATTAACATCTAGTTGTTAATGAATTATATTAATTTGAGCCCATAAAGTCTCACATATCGATCTATAGAATGTTGAAAAGTTAATTTCATTAGTTTGTTTTTCTTAAGTAATTTCTGAAATCACGACATCCGGACGAAACTTAGAAGAACATAATTTGGTGGTTTGTAACTTGAGCAACTTAAATTAAATGGTATTGCTTTTACACGTAGAAGGCACTGCCTACGTGTGTTGTTGTCTTTTGAAGGGTCATAACGTTTTCATGCCTGCTTGTATCACATTTCGTAACAAAACAGTCGATTTATGGATCACATTTACACAAGTGAAACTAGTTTGTTCATGCTTTTCTTAATTATTTAAATTTGCTGTTTAACTGTATGCCAAGATCCTATTTCAGATGGGGCAACACTATAAACTTAGCAACCTACGTAATTCTTCTTGATTAAAATCACCTTTTGAAAAACACATTCGTTGATAACATTAAGAAGAAGTACAAGACTCTCAAGTACGTAACAAGTTTTGTCCACATATAAATATTATATCATGAATTATTTAGAAAAATAAAAATGATAGTTCATTTTTTAACACCGTTTAGCCCTATAAATAACACTTAGAGGACCTATATACACTTTTTATCTTAAAAATACTTGAACAATCGCATTGTAAAACATCGGAGAGGTACTAGAAAACATTCGCAACAGAATATGTTTCATATTTCTGTACTGAAAATGTAACATGGAAGACGTAAATTAGTAAATTCATACAGGCTCTATAACTGCGTCGGGAAGCTGAAGGGTCAAAGGAAAATTTTTGGCATCCGAATTTTTGTGTGTGTGCCAAACGTGTTTCTTCAGCATGTATTGACTTAATTACTTGCTCTACGAAACAAAGTTTTCATCCAACGTTACATTGAACATTTAATTTTTATTTGAATATATTTCATTTGGTGAGGAGCGTTAAAGTGTCAGTGCAAAGGCAACTGGAACGAATTGTAAAAATTTGGTGTCATCTATCCGTAAGACCAAAGCATCATACTAGGTAAGTATCCAGGAGGAAACGCCACGTAAACCCCAAGACTAACGGTGGTTTGATCTCGCCTAAGGCGACACGAACACGTGTGGAGAATATGTAATAGTTGCCTATTCACATTCTGTCCTTTCTTTAAAAACTAAAAGGAGAACGAAAAAATAAGTGGATGTATATTGAAAAACTTAAATATTACCGCAAAAAGGTTCAGAAGAACCATCAAGTAAGGCAAAGATCGAGAAGGTTGAGAAGAGTTTGAGTAGAATCGTAGTTAACAGAAGTGCAGAGCACATAATTATTTTCCAGTTTTATTGAACTGAAGTTATATTGTGTTTTTACCCATTCAATAATCTACATATCTCATATTAGGTACTTTCCATTTCGAACTAAAAGTCGATTTTTATTCACAACCAAGTTCATTATCTGTATAATGTTTAGTTTGCTTTTCGCAACTATCATATCGAATGTTTAATGGAATATCCAAGACCGAATAAACTGAATGGCGCCACATCCGTAAAAGCGGCGCTGACCTAAATCTCTTTTAGCAAGCAACAGTCTTTTATTTGAATTGGAGCTGTTTCAGCCAGCTTTGTAAAGTTCGACGAATGGCAGTGCTTTGAAATTTTATAAATCAAACTCATTGTTTGAGAAGGAGAAGTCCTACAATTAAAGTAAAAAGTACAGGGCAGGGGGCAAGGAAAAAGTATGATTAAAACGAACCGAAGCGAATCATCATATATGTATGTATATGTAGATGTGGTCAGATGGTGCTTTTAAAACATGCATAAATCTAAATGTGTTACTCACTTTATCAAAATTAAATTAATTAGATATTGTCTAACATTTAACATATAGCTTAAACATTGTCAGCAGTTTTTTTGATTTTAATTATTATTGTTATAGTGTTGAACTAATTTTAAGCATGCATTTTTTAAGCACAACCAATAAATTCACCTTTTTTGGAAAAAAAATTGAATCAGCTATCAGCTGGAACGATATATTTCCTTATTGGTATCATTAGAACAGACAGGCGTTATTTATATCGCAAATCGTCGAAAAACCAGGAATGGGTTTCTGGTATGCGTATAGCGACGGTAGGGCATAAGTTCGATTAAGGAAAATTATATAAATGTAAAAATAAAACGAAAAATAAATATAAAACGAATTAAATCGTTTCGTCCGTTCGGATTACTCATCGAGAACTTAGCTTCACTTTAGCTTGTTGCCATTTTAAACTAACATACAAAATATGAATTCTAATGATTAGCTGAAAAAAATATTGTTTTTTTAATAGCAAAGAGCAGCCATACTTTTCGTTTACAACAATATTAGACATACATAAATGTATGGTTCCAGATTTATTTTTAGACACTGCGCCGCCAATTTAACACATATCTTAAATAACCCCTAACTTTTCACTGTGAATGTTTTCTCAATCGGTCATTGGATTTGAACAAAACAATTTTTTTATCGAAGGATTCTTGGACAAAACTTAAAGTCAGCTGATAAGCAAAGTAAATATACTTAACATGCTGTACAGGGTGTTTAAAAAATGTCATGTTTTCTTGCTCAAAGTTTAAATCGGTCTGCAGAAAATTTCGGGTTTCTCCGACAGAAAAAAGTAAACAGTGTCTTCTGAGCTATTTGGATCTTCATTCGCTTGGTTAACAAAAACCAAATTACTCAAAAAATAAAACCAAATCGGCACGAACGAATTCTTGTTAATGTTAGTTTGGGTTCAGTTGGTTGAATAAGGAAAATTAACCCTAATGGAAAATATCAGCGGGACGGTCTCACAACAGTTTTTGTGTCAACAAACCTAGAGCCTAACCTAAGGGGAACGTGTTATATTTTGGCGCGTTTAATTTTCTTGCTAATCAAAAGTACATCTACCGTTTGTGCTTCTGAACATATTCTTTATTTTTATAATATACTTTGATTTCATAAAACTGACCGCCATTCATAATTGGTTTTATCCTCTGTGTTCTTATTGGTTTTATCCTCTGTGTTCTTATTGCTTATCCAAATGTTATCACATTGATTTGATAGGAAATATATATTTTTAGTCAGCACATCTAGAAGTTGATATCAACGAACGAATATGAAAGTTTCAAAAAACTTCTCCCATCTTGCTGGGATATTAATATAACATATTAATAACTACTATAAAAGCTATAAGAAGAATTTGAATAGATTAGGAAACCGTGATTATCATAATATTTCAATAGAATAAACATAAACAATAAACTGAAGATAAAATAATTAATCCGTTTTAGCTGACAAAATTATGAAAATTTAAATTTTGCTAGGAATGCAATGAAACGGCTATTGAAACATTTGCTGAATAAACAACTGTTTTTTGAAAATGTTACATCGATTTTACAAAATATTTCATTGCAAGCCATGCAAATCGCGAAATTTCTCCATGGAGGCATAATAACCCGGTCAACTCAAAAACACAACCAAGATCTCATTAATTAAGAAACGGGTAAGATTTTAACATTAATTGAATATTTTTGTTTAATCTGTAGATCTACTAGTAAAACCTTGTTTGTCACCTGATAGCGAAGATATTGTCACTTAATCAAGAGAGTAATTCGTTCTTAATTATGATAAGCAACAATTATTTAAGGAAAATTCCAACACTGTGCCAATGCTTGTCGCCATGAGTAAACTCCAAATTATCCCTAATTTTCATAATAAAATTGGATCGTAAATATTCAATAATGTACTGATTTAATAAGGCGTCGAGGAATTTATAAATGAAAACGAGATGCTGTCAAATGCTGGCGCCGACCCAGATTTTCTGGCCTCTCAGCAACAGCTCGCAGCCAGGAATAAATTAAAATAATTATTTTCCGAAATATTTTTCCACCTTCATATTTGAAGAAAAATCTGCATACTAAAACAACTTTATAAACGTTTCCCTAATTAATAAGCATTCTGGATAGGGATAACATTTTACATATAGCTAATAGCATCAGCATTTAATTTAAAATTGAAAATTACCCACCTTTATAAAACCGAAAGCTTTTATAAGTGTTGTTAAGTTGATGTTCTGAAAAATAGAGCAATGTATAGTTAACCGATCGTGTTTAAAGTTTAAGTGTATTAGGTATATCAGAGTACTACCATGAGGACGCAACAGGGATTGAACGTAAGATCACTGAAAGCTCAGTTAAGCTTTTCATGACCCTATCAAATTAATATGATGAATTTAGATAGAGATACTTGAAAGGAATGACTGAATTACATGGCAGTATCTCTGAAATCAGCTTTACGGTTCGCAAAAGCGATTTCACATGGGTGTACAAGAAAATCGTTTCCTGCCCAGAGGTGAGAGGAATAAAATCCACCGTTACGCTGGATGTGTATTATGTTTATGGAAAGTGGAACATGTTGGAAGCCCTGGAGAATCTTGAATTTTTACCGTACTTTTGTGCTATGTGAGCAGGTTACGGTAGACTGATAAGACATTTTACCACAATACAGTTGCTTAAAATGTATATTTTTTGTCTATTGAAATAAATTATTTTATACTACATTACACGGGACAAGGAAAATCACTCCTAGGAGAATTTAGTAATACATTTAGTGTACATTTTAAACTATCTGTGAATGTATTTTCGTATTGTTCAGTGATATTAAAGTAAAATTGAAAATATTTCACTATTTTTCCATTTTCTCCAACAAACATTTTGTTTGTGTGTGCTATTTCAAACTGAAATAAGCTACCTGATAACATACCGTAATAAGTATTATAAATTATCATAAAGCAAAGTTCTTAGGTTTTTTTTATCGTTCTACCTTATTTAATTTTAATACGTTGTACTTAATTCCTTTTTTTGCATTATTGGTTCGAGCTTTTTAATTACTCTCAAGTATTTCCTTTTTTTAATAGCTCTTCTAAATAGTTGTTAACCCTCAATTTTAGTACAAAATACTTGAATTAATAAGACTTACATTTGTTCTATCAAGTTTGAACCATAATCGATGCAATACTTGGACTAAAAATATTGAATCAGCGTCAAGCTTCAAAAGAGGGAAAACGAGGTCGAATCGATTAAAATAGAATTATTCATTATATTGTTTTACTTCTTGCTCTGCATAACGACAAAGAAATTATTTTCAATTATATGTTTTCTACAACGTCCAGAGTCATAATGAATAGGTGATTATCTTATAGCTTAATGCAGCACAATCCAGAATATTTATGAACACTTGTTTTCGAAAATTATGCTTGTTTAATATACTGTTATTTTCATAAATTGTAATAAAGAAATGGTAAGCTATGAATAACAGAAGGTATGGCACAGAGTGAGGAAAGCAGAACACTTTGTAGTTAACAACTATCTGTAGAATAATAAAATGATAAATAAATGAGCCCGCTAGATTTTGGATCGAGATAAACAGTAAAACTGCGACTTGTTTAATTTAAGTAAAAAATTTTAAAAACAGTTGAAGAGGAAAAATGTTTGCACATCTTTTAAAGGATTTCGGCACTGTCGGATGTATTCTTGCTGAATATTGAAAAAAAAATATTTGAATCATAATATTAATATTGTTAAGTACAAGCTCTCAAACAAAACAATTTCTGAAAGTTAATTGATCGAGATTGAATGAAATTGCAGTCCCACACGATAAACTTTTAGGTTCATTTTTTTCTCGTGAAATTAAATGTCTTAAAAGACATTTGACAATTTTCACTATTAAATTGAAAGAAAGCTGCTAAAGTCACTGAAGACCCATTGCCACATTTTAAAATTTCAATAGAAGATATAATGGAAATTAAATCTTTATTTGTGTATTTTTTCATCAAATGATTTCTTATCAATATAATTTTCTAATTTACTCATACTGGAAGGTGTTCATTTTTGTGTATTTGAATTTCTAATTGTTGATTGATTGTTGCCCCTTGCCATAAATAAAACTCTTTTCTCTCAAAATTTACATGTATTTATCCTGAGAAAATCTAGCCCTTCTTGCAAATACCTTGTAACTTGTATTAAAGTTTGAAATAGCAGATTACAACTAGGAAATTCTCCACGCTTAACAAACAAGCTACATTTTAAAAACCAGTTTCATTAGAAACTTAAACAACGTAACCAAAGCAAATAGCCGCATAGCTTTCAACAGCTCCATCATATTTTCTGAGACCATTGTAATTTATAAAGAAATTTTAAATGAACAATAAATCTTAGTTCGGCTCGAAGTTTCGCTCCTTTAAGAAGAAGTGACCCATTAAAAGTTTGGGAAGGGTGAGCAATTACTGGCAAGATTTTGTCAGCCGAATTTAACTAATGGTTGGACCTCAAAACGATATAATTAATCTTAGTCAAATTAGAGATTCCCGAATAGCTATAGTTAGTGAAAGCCTATAGTAGATTACATCTAGTTTTGTCAGGGCGTCAAGTTAATAAATTAACAGGAAGGGACATTGATTATGCTGTCTAAAGTGGGACAATTCAAAAGGGCCCATATAAGATTTTGACCGTTTTAATTCCACGGTAACAGCGTGGATAGGTAATACATATTAATTCCATACCACATTTAAAAACAATTATTTATTTAAAATTTGAAACACATACAACAAACAACATACAGGCGAAATTCGGAAACACTGTCAACGATTTTGTCTTCTTAGTTTTACACATTTCAATTCAATCCACCAAACCGAGTACTCCACGAACGCACAAAGAATAACAGAAATACTACTTTAATTACAATCGAAATGGAAAAATAATTCTCATTCCAATTGTTCCCAGCTTCTTCTTCATCAAGAAATAACGAAAGATAGAGGTTGTTCCTAAGCTCTCTCTGTTTAACAAGACCCACCAGAGAAACGCATTTCCTCTTCCCAACTTCAACTTTATTGGAACATTTTCAGTCATACATTATATTCAATATTATTTTTCCATTGCTCTTAAGCAAAGTTGTACTTTCTCAATGTGAACCTGATCTAATTTTTTATGCATAAACTCTGATTGCTGCTGGCGATTGGATTTCTGTCTGAAGCGATAGCTAGAAGGGCTATTTTTCTGTCGGCACTTGTTTTTTTTTAAACTAAATAGGTACTTCTGAGTCAGTATTTGGCATGTGGAAAATGAAACAATGGAAAACTTCTGAAAATTTGGTATAATTCCAATTAAACTTCCTCAACTGAAAAAAAATGTGTATATAGTCACACTAAAGGCATACAAACAAATAAACTCATATCTTAAAATAAGTTTCTGATTTTTTCGCGCATCTATGTCACAGCCTATTTTTCAAAATCTAGAGTCCATGTTGAAGCTAAAATCTCATGCTTTTTTACGATATTTACACCTCATATACAATGCAGCTTTCGTTAGCGAGTACTAAAACTCCCATTCTGAAATCCCAACTTTTAAATTTTTTTAGAGCAAATACCTTTTTAAATATCATCCCAATTCTCATTAAAGCTTGCAAATAACCGCTTTAATAAAAATAAACATTTGGTGAACCGAAAATGTCCCTACTGATTTGGATTGGATGATTTGGAAAAACACCATCTTATGTTTATTCTACGCAGGGGTTACTAAATCAAAAGTCTACAAAACCATGTTGATATAATAAAAATTCGATGATTATCTTGCACAGAGTTTTTGTAAATATATAAATCCGCGTGTGTGTTATTTATGTGCTTTATTTGGGTCAGTTCTTATCGCCTACTGTTTTATTTCAGTTTTTATTCATGAACTTTTATGAGCAACTTCCTTTCGGTTCAGAGTAATGTTAAGTAAATACAGCAACCTACATTCAGATTTTAACCAGTTTGTGCTGAACACGTTGCGAACTCAATTAATTATCAGTCAGATATTAAAATCAATTGGGAATATGGCATATAAGGACTCGGAATTAATATTAATTAATTACGTAATTAATTATACTACAAATAAAAACACTTACGATTAGAAAGGCGTTCCATAACACTGTACAAGAGGGATTAGAACGTATTTACATGCATGTAATTTCAAAACGATTTTGACTTCATACCGGTTTCTCTGTTTTTGGAAGATAATGACCTAGTGAATCAATTTATATTGGCGATCACATAATTTTATTATGTGATCGACACACGACTTTAATTACCATGAATCATCTATGAGGCTGAAATAATGTATTTTTCCTTTTAGAACCCTCATGATGACTTTAATATAGCCAAAACTTTTCCTCCAGAAAAATAGCGTTTTTTTTTCTGCCACTATCTATTCACCGATTAGGCGAGAACATAAATAGGCATCTTTTTCCAAAAGTATCGTATTATATTTTTCCGAATATACCGAGATCTTACGTTCAGTTTGTTAATTTACTTAATTAACAGTTTAATTGGTAAATTTCTTAAATGTCCTGTTTCTACGGAACCTAAAATCTTATTAACAGACTGTCTAATTACCATTAGCACATGCTTTACTTGATTTCAATTAACTTATTTTTTAAGTTATTTCGAATGAGACAACTGTGATCAAAGCTTCTTAAAAAAAATGTGGATTTTAATTATATTGCGACTAAATTGAATGCTAAAAAATGTCTAAATTATGCCAAAGAACTCTGGCCGAGACAGGCGACTTTAATTCACTCTGAAACTTTTGCGCCAAAGTTTACTAATCCACGGGTTTCTGCTGAACGTCAGTAAGAATCATTATTATGTGCATTATTTACTTACTGATTTGTTTTTTTCTTTGAATCCCACACAGAAAAGCATTGGCATATATATGGTATTAACAATAAAAGAGAAAATCTGGGAGGAAAATGCGATTACCAAAAAACGGACGTGATTGTTTATATCTTGTAATTTGAAGATCAAATGCACAAATGTGAAAATTTTGGCCATCTTTAGAAACGACAAGTATTAAATCATGTAGTAGTTTTCTTCTGGCAACTTATAGAAGCGACTGTTAGTCGTGAATCGTCGTTCACATATTGAGTCCATAAAGCTTCAAAATCACGAAAAATTGATGATAATATTTACGAACGTATAGCTGGGAGAATCGACAAATTACTGTTGTACTGTACGATACTATTTGCTTCCCTATTTATACCAAATCTGGGTCAAATTGCTGCCGAAATTCAGCTTTGCAAAAATTGTTGCATGTTTCTATCGAACTATTCAAGACAGTTAGTTCGTTCTTATTAACTATTTTCACTAAATAGTCGCACTCAGAAATATTGAATAAAGGAATTCTGCTTAAGTTCTTAAAAACCGCATACATTTTCAAACAACAATCGCTGCAAAACCTTAAAATCAATTACTGAAATTAGTCGTTGTCTCTGCTTTGCAGATTTTAATTATTTCTCATTTTGCCCGCAATCCCTCAAGTTTTTGAAGGGACAAATTAATTGCTGGATCA